AATGACGTCAGCAACACGTGACATATGACGTTTATAATTTCATACTGTATACCATATCAAATGATAGAGCACGACTAGGAGAACAATGTACTGAAAACCGTTTATCAATATGGAAAATATTTTATGAATTATAACAATTTAAATTAACTTCAGTGTCCCCCCGGAACTATCCTTTTTCCTTAAATTCAACCCTCTTGGTTTGCTTTCTCCAGTTTTCATTGAAAAATGCTACGAATTGCATAAAATGAAGATCTTGGTGTACCTAACAATCGTATCGTTTTAGATTTTTTGTTTTCGCCTTTAGAACGATAATTTATTCTCTTAAATAATCGCTGACGTAACTTTTTGTGACGTCACACAATAGTTTTTGATTGCTTATAAACGCGTGAATAACTTTAATTTGGATTTTTTTTAGCTATACCCGTTCTTTTCATCTCATGCAATCAGCCTGCAATATAAGTGGAGTTGCAAATACGAAAAAGAACTTTCGTTTCGAAAATTTTATCTCAGGGGGATCACTGCTTTACTGAATGAGCATTCCTTGAAGTTCAAATTGTCATATCTCCTTTAATATTTCAGATATTAAAAAACGGTTTTCAGTTTTCAACTTCTCTCCTTGCCCTCTTTTGAAAGGGTCAAAACAATGTTGGAATTTCCAAACTTTAAATTAAGAGTGTGGCTTGACGGCATCGACAATGACGTCATCATCTGAATTTTTCTACCACTTTTTATGTCAAAACATGTGGACGCGTGTCCTCTATCTACTTGCCAAGTTTAATAATGGTATGTCAAATTTATTTGAAGTTATGCTAAAATGAGCGCTCAAAGGGGTTTTTATCCCTAGTGTGGAGTCTGAGAGGATAATTGTCAAATATTNCTTTACTGAATGAGCATTCCTTGAAGTTCAAATTGTCATATCTCCTTTAATATTTCAGATATTAAAAAACGGTTTTCAGTTTTCAACTTCTCTCATTGCCCTCTTTTGAAAGCGTTAAAATAATGTTGGAATTTCCAAACTTTAAATTAAGAGTATGGTTTGACGTCATCGACAATGACGTCATCATCTGAATTTTTCTGCCACTTTTGTGGACTTGAGTCCTCTATCCACTTGCCAAGTTTGATAATGGTATGTCAAGTTTATTTGAAGTTATGCTAAAATGAGCGCTCAAAGGGGTTTTTATCCCCAGTGTGAAATTGAATAACAGTTCGTTTTCTTTGAGCCGACAACAAAAGTTGTTAATGTCTTCTTGAGGTTTCTTTGGATCGTGACAATGTCATTTGGATTAGCTCGAGGTATAAATTACAGAGTCATCTGCCTAAGTAATTATTTTGAAAATTGCAGCGGTTTATGGACATTGTCAAAATGGACTATGAACAGAACAGGCCCCAGGATACTCTCCTGTGGTAGGCCTGAAAAACCTGGTTGAGCTTCTGGTAATACACCTTTATATTGGACAGCCTGTGTTCTACCAAAAAGATACCAAGGAGATTCGGCTAGTGAATCTGCGTAGTGCTTACTTCCACTTTCTGTTAAAGAGGCACTGCTCGCTTGTTTTTCATGTTCTTTTACGGAGACACTGATTTCCTATTTTGTTCTTGTTGCATGACAACAACCTTGTCTTTCGATTCAGTATCGAGATCCAAGATGGCGTCCACGGAGGCTACGATGAACCGCCGTTCACGTTTGCATTTACATGTTAATTGGTTCTTACTTATGATCATTTAGGGTACCGACTCAAATAGATTTCATGTTACCGTGTTGCCGGCCGTGCGTCTGTTCAGTAATTGATCATGATCAGAGAAGACGTCAAACTGTGTTAAGAACATCAGCGACACACTCACCTAACGGCTCGTGTGCAACGTTTTTGTTCTTGGCACATTTTGACGTAATCTGTGATCAATTAATGATGAGACGCACGGCAACATGGAATCTATTTGTTAAACTTGTTTCCTTCCTGGCTCTCGCGTGATTCCCCCCCACCCAAAAAAAAGGCTTAATAAAAGGGGACAGATTAATTTTTGCGAGAAGATAACCCCCCCCCCCTTCGAGAAGACTGATTAATGAGAATAGAGAGCAGTAATAGGTGATCAGTAAGTGAGTTCAGTTGTAAGTAATCAAAATCTGATCTGATATTTTAAATTAACGAAAAATACGTGAAAAACACGCTTGGACTAGAGAGGGAGGGACAAAACCTGCACCTAAAGAAGAAGCTACAGGTCCTCTAGGGAATTTTTAAGAAACGATTAAAAGCAAGCAGAAGAGGGGAAATCAGCTTGTACACCTCTCAAGTATCCCGAGACTCGAAATGCGACTAGGTTACATCGCTAAACACGCGAGAATGCGCGAGGAGCGAAGAAAAGGTTATTAAAGAGGATATCCAACCCACGCTCTGTCCATATTGAGAGATGTTCACGCGTCAAATACACGCGTGGTCCCGCGAGACATAACTAAACACCTGCAGGTTTTTTAAAAAAGGATTAAGTCCCCCAGAGTATTCGTGGAAAGATAAACACAATAAAAATTCAAGAAAGGGCAGAAAAAAACTTTCTATTGTAAATTAACGAAAAGTACGTTCTAAAACTGGCTGGGAAAGCGAAACCCAAAAACAGAGAAAATTAGCTCCTACACTTCTCAAAGATCCGAAGCCGAAAACACGAATGGGTCACACCAATGACCGCGGCAGGTTGCGCTATGAGAGGGAAAATAGTGACGGGCGAGTTACTCTATCGCACGGTCTGTCCAAATCGAGAAATGGACACGCGTGAAAAACACGCGTGGATTTGCGGGTGAGGGTCAAAACCTCCACCTTTAAAAAAAGCTACAAGCCCTCTAGGGGATTTTTAAGGAACGACTAAAAGCAAAGGTCATAAGGAAGGCAGAAACATAACTTCCCGCTTAAATATTCATGAAATACGGCTTAAACTTGTTTGGGAAGCAAATTCGGAGAAGAAGGGAAATCAGTTGGTACACCTCTCAAATATACCAAGACATAAAGTGCGACTGGGTGACATCGCTAAACGCGCAAGGATGCACGAGGAGAGGAGGAGAGGTGATTGGGGAGGATTTCCAACCCACGCTCTCTCTATATCGAGAGATGTTCACGCGTCAAATACAAGCGTGGACGCGCCAGACATGGCTAAAAACCTGCAGCTTTTAAAAAGAGGTTTAAGTCCTCCAGAGTATTCGTGGACAGATAAAAACAATAAAAATTCAAGGAAGGGCAGAAAAAAACTTCCTATTGCAAATTAACGACAAGTGTGCTCTAAACATGGCTGGGAATGCGAAATCCAAAGACATTTAAAATTAGCTCATACACGTCTCAAAGATCCGAAGCCGAAAACACGAATGGGTCACATCTATGACCGCGCGAGGATATGGTGGGAGAGGGTAATATCTGATGGAAGAGTTACCCTAAAGCACGGTCTGTCCAAATCGAGAAATTGTCACTGGTGAAACACAAGAGTGGAGGTTCGAGGGAGGGTCAGATCCTGCACCTTTTAAAAAACCTACAAGCCCTCTAGAGGATTTTCAAGAAACGAGTAAAAGCAAAAGGTTTTGAGGAGGGCAGAAAAAAAACTTACCGCTTAAATGATCATAAAGTACGGCCTAAACTGGTTTGGGAAGCGAATGCCAAGAAGAGGGGAATTCAGCTTGTACACCTCTCAAATATCCCGAGACACAAAATGCGCCCGGGTCACATCACTAAACGCGCGAGGGTGCGCGAGGAGAGGAGGAAAGATGATTGGGGAAGATTTCTAACCTATGCTCTGTCCATATCGAGAGATGCTCAGGCGCCAGATACTCGCGTGGACGCGCAAGACGTGCCTAAAAATCTGCAGGTTTAAAAAAAAAGCTTTAAGTCCTCCGTAGTATTCGTGGACAGAGAAAAACAACAAAAATTCAAGAAAGGGTACATAAATAAACGTCCTATTCTAAATTAACGAAAAATACGCTCTAAACATGTCTGGAGATGCGAAATATGCTCTTACACGTCTCAAAGATCCGAGACCCAAAACACGGTCACATCAATGACTGAGCGAGGATGCGTTAAGAGGGGGAAAAAAGTGATGGGCGGGTTACTCCAACGCACGGTCTGTCCAAATCAAGAGATGGTCACGCGTGAAACACACGCGAGGACTTGGGAGGGGAGGTCAAAACCTACACCTTCAGAAAAAGCTACAAGCCCCATCTAGGGGATTGTTAAAGCGGTACTATGATCAAATTTTTATCCCTTGATTTTTTAGATGTATCACAAAGAGTTCCATGAAAGAATAAAAACGCCGTTTACTGTTTTCAAATATCTGCATTAGTTCCGAAGATATCTAAGTTTGAAAAATGTGTAAAATATGCAAATGAGATGACTGATGACGTCATACACTCAACCCAATATTATATTAAGTATATAAATAGAGCCATCTCGGTCAATTTACAGCAGAATCCGTTGAAACGTGGTAGGCTATTAGTTCTACGGGAAACACACCTACGGTTATAAAAAATTCTGTTCCTATGGCAACTCACTCTTTTCCAGTCCCCACCGACTTGATTTCAATATGTTAGTGATTTTCAGCTTGAAAAACATTAAACGAGGCCACGAGTTCGAGCAAGCATGTTTATATGCCTGCTGGATCGTGCATATGAGACACCATTAGCAAATATCAAAATAGATCGCCAAAGGTGGCCAGATAAGCCTTTAATATTGGGGAGGTCTGGAACCCAGTATGTTGCCATGGTGACAAAACTGTTAAGCTCGTATTGTGGAGCACATTTAGTAGAGTCTGCAAGGAGTCAAACATTTCTGATTTAAATTGGCTGAGATATCTTTCTTCATCATATTTGATCAAAATTTGGTTGGGTGTATAACGTCATCATTTGGCCAATTTGCATATTTTAAAAACTGGAATATCTCAGGAACGAAAAGAGACATTTGAAAATAGTAAACAGCATTTTTCTTCTCATAAAGACTACTTGTTTTATGTTTTAAAATGGCTTAGATAGGAGAGATGCGATTTTCGTCATGGTACCACTTTAAGAAACGACTTAAAGTAAAAGGTCATAAAGGGGGCAGAAAAAGAACTTCCTGCTTAAATGATCATGAAATACGGCTTAAACTTGAACTTGTTTGGGAAGCGAATTCCGAGAAGAGGGGAAATCAGCTCGTACACCTCTCAAATACCCCGAGACACGAAATGCGACTGGCTTACATCGCTAAACGCGCGAGGATGCGCGAGGAGAGGAGTAAAGGTGATCGGGGAAGATTTCCAACCCACGCTCTGTCCATATCGAGAAATGTTCACGCGTCAAATACACGCGTGGACGTGTGAGACCGCTAAAAGGCTGCAGGTTTGAAAAAATGTTTAAGAATGAATTTTTCTACTTAGCAAACATAGCACGGCAGAAGTCGAAAAATCGATTTTTCTCTCTTTTTGCCCACAAAAAACGCTTAGGTAGATATGAAATGTGATATAGTTTTTTGGAGCTCAAAGCGCTTTAAATTCAAGAAAATCGAGGAAAACGATTGTCGCCTCGACGGTCGCCAAAATTGCCGATTGCAAAGGCTTAAAATTAGTAACCTGAACTTAATTTGCGTTCTTGTGCAAAGGAAAACCAAACTTATCGATAATTTTTCTTGAAAGACAAAGTATTCAGCTATCCAAAACAGGTTAGAACTTGACTTGAGCGCCATTTTAGTGTAAAGACGCAATTTTTAAAAGAATCCCTTTCAGTTACTAGGTCCGATTCCTAATTTACGAATAAAATTCAGAGATATTTTTCAACATATGCCATAACTCCAAATTCCTTGAAACTTCGCCTTTGGAACACTTTAACGTTGTTGTAAAACTTGTATTAAAATCAGCTTGGGTTATTCTTCGAGTGCTTTTTGAGGCCCGGCTTAAAAACCCCGATTTTAGCTAAAACGTCACGAAAAGTAAAAACTCATTTTCATATGATAGGATGTGCACCAAGACGCGCTTTGAAAAAGAGGCTTAAGGTAAATCAAAAATGTCCTATTGCAGAAGTATGATGCCAGCGAGCAACTATAAGAGACAGTCAAATAAGGTGCTTTACTACTTTTTATTTTTCATCTTAAAGAAAACAAAGTGCAACACAGTTCCCTTTCCATGTAGTTTAAATTACTCAGCAGGAGGTACACTTGATTGTAAGAACTCATAGGAGATAATCCCCGTGACGTCATTCTTGGCTAGCTTATATTTATTAGTATTGGTTTTGGCGGGTGAGAAAAAAAGGTAAGTTATTTAATCCCCTGTGTAGGCCTTTTTTATCGAGGTAATCTTGAAATTATTTTAACACATGGTCTCCACCTCTCCTACGGCTAATTTTACCCCGCTCGTGGCGTAACTGTTTTCAACATCTAGTCCTGTTTGTCCCATTGTCCAATGAGGGAGGGGGTATAGGGCGTGCACAATGGCCTTCCATCTCTGTCGGTCTTGAGCCGCTCTCTTTGCCTCCCACCAACTCAGGTTGGCATCCTTTAGATGTTTTCATAGAGATGAAATGCGTGCACAGCCACTTGGGCTATCTACGTAAGACAAATTCCCGTAACGAGATTGGCTATCTCTCGGCTATCCTGGGATTCCTAAAGCCGGAAGTGACTTTTAAGAGGTATTACCTTAGGTGTAAGGTCAGTATGGGGGATTAACTCACTTACTCTTCACGCTCTCTTGGTTTTGGTTGCCAAAGTGTTGGTGGTTTGCTGTTGATTCAGTTGGAGGAGTAACCCTTAGTCCAAAGACAGTTCTTAGGCGATTACTGGAGCAAAGCTTAGCAAGTGTAAGAGAAAACTTCACTTAGTTAACTTCGAAGATCTGAATAATCGGACGATCTGCAGCCTTCCGCGGACTTACAAATTTGCTAATTTCAAAGGGAATATTTAGAGTTACCGCCTATTAGGAAAGAGACTAGATACCTCAAACAATTACATAAAAACCTGGACAACTCAACAAGTCTGGCTGACCCAAAACTTATTTGCTATTCGTTTAAAGCAAAAACAAACTCCTTACCAGTGACGTCACACAACGAAACCCAGTTTTAGCGCGAAAGTTTTTTTTCATCAGAAGCTGTATAACATTTGCTTATTGTCTAACTGAAAAAAAAAATGTTGAGGGTATTCTGTGATGGATACTTTCATAAGGAACACTTTGAGATAGGAAACGAATATTCTGTTGCATTTTGCCTTATATCAATTTTCTTTTAATCACGTAGATTGTTTTTAAATAATAAAGCAATTCCTAGAACCATTTGGGTTTGTGTTTAAGAGATAGAAGTTTTTTCGATATCAGAACCTTGGACTTGCTTGGACTGTCACTGTTGGTACATTTCCCGTCATTTGGTCCCTTGGGATAGCCACCAGACCAGTAGAAATAGGAAACCCACACATTCATCTTGGTAAACATCGTTCGCTGTAGTACAATAGAAAAACAACAAAATAAATGATAAATAAATAAATAATTGCATTGCAATATTTAGAGGGGAAGCCACATCAGCCCCAAGTTGGTTTTATGCGGGTCCCTAGTCTATCCTGGTTGAATTGGAATTTGAAAATGTTGGCTTTTCAGAAGGGACGTAAACCGCAGTACCCACAGAATTCAACCCAAATATGATACCGGGCCGAAATCGAACCCGGTACACACTGGTGGGAGGCAAGCGCTCTTAAAAGATTAACTATGGGTGAAAAGATTAACTATGAGTTTTCTGCCTTGTTCAAGACGTTTCCGGTGTTCATTTTTCCAAACCTTTTTCCATTTATAATGGTAATTGAA